CTACTTTTTGCTTCTTTGTCAGAGGCTAGTTGTCCATACATGTGTGGCTTTTCTCCTGGGCTTTCTGTTTGGTTCCACTGGTCTGTGCGTGTTTTTGCTCCATACCATACTGTTTTAAGTATTATGGTTTTGTAGCATAGTTTGAAGTCTAGGAGTCCGATACCTTTGTTTTAGTGAGGAGAACTCTGGCTATTTGAAATGTTTTTTTTTGTGGCTCCATGTGAACTTCATCCTGCTACTTTGCTAAAACTTTGATTGTTTTGATTAGTTTCTCTGTAGAGTTTTTAGGGCTCTCTACGTTATCATGTCATCTGCAAGTAGCGATAGTTTTACTTCTTCTTTCCCTATTTGGGTTCCTTGCATGTCTTTCTCTTGTCTTATTGCTCTGGCAAGGACTTCCAGTGTTACGGTGAAGAGCAGTGGTAAGAGTGGACATCCTTGTTTTGTTCTTGACCCTAAAGGAAAGGCTTTCAGCTTTTCACCACTGAGAATAATTTTGGCTGTCACATACGGCTTTTATCGCGGTGAGGTAGATTTCTTCTGTCCCTTCATCATCAGCGGATGTTGGACTTTGTTGAACGTTGTCAGTTGATGTGATCATGTGGTTTTCCCTTGTCACTTTGTGATCTATTAGGTGGCACTTTGTGTTGGATCTTCAGAGGCGGACCGTCCTCGCGCCTCATGGGATAAATTCCACTTGATTGTTGTGGACGGTCCTTTGGATGCATTACTGGATTCTGCCGGCGATTAGTTTATTGAGGATTTTCGCACCAGCGTTCATTAGGGAGACTGACCTACTGTAGTTTTCTTTCTGTGTGTTGTCTTTGCTTGGTTTGGTCTTAGTGTGATGCTGGCGTCATGGAATCCATCTGGTAGCAGTCCTTGCTCAGTCTTTGGAAGGCGTGAAGCCAGCCTAGCACGTGGGCAGGAGGGCTGGCTGGGAGGGGGCGTCCACGCACCAGCCCGGGTGCTGAGCCTGGAGAGGTCCCCAGACCCTGCGGCCGTGAGTGAGCGCCGTTCTCTCCCGGACCCCACCACCCCTGCTTCAGTGAGCGCCGCTGGCTCACAGGCATCACTTACTCTTTGACGTACATTCGATGGGGTCGAGCCAGACTCCCCACGGGCCACAGGTCTTGCCGGGCAGGCCCTGCCCACCCCTGCTTGGCCGGTACCATTTTCTCTCTCACCCCTGCACATGGACCTTCTCTCCTGGCGCAGATTTCTGCCTGGCCAGGCTCAGGCCAGGAGGGCACAGGCTTCCCGAGCACACAGCCGACCCTAGCGGCCCAAGTGTGGACTCTGAACCGGCTCTCTGTCCCCCCGGGAGACCTCAGCCCAGGGGTGACGTCCTGGCCCTCGGTTTCCCCAGCTGCGCAAGGGGGCTGAGCCTGAGGCGCCACGTCACCACCAGGAGGCAGCCTGGACCCGCTGCCCTGCTCTGCCCTGCCAGGTGAGTGCCCCTCATCCGCCCGGGTGCCCCCATGAGCCCGCTGCCTCCTGGGGGCAGGGGGGTGGGGCAGGGGTCAGCGGCGGCCTGATCACACCTGCGACACAAGCTCTGCTGGCCCCGCCGGTCAGCAGAGAGCAAACAAGCTACCCGAGGCCCCAGCCAGTTCCTGGAAAAGGGCTTAGCTACGTGCAGGACAAACAGATTGAGCTGACCCGGCAACCCCCCCCCAACTCCCCCACAGGGGTCCAGGGCCATGGTCGCGGGATCTGCAGGCAGCCGTTCCCTGTGGCGGCAGGGGGTGTCCAGCCCACTGCAGCCAGAATCGGGGTCCTTGGACACCTCTCCTCTGCATGTCCTGGTCCCCGCTCCCCCAGAGGCTGAGGGAAAGCCCGGCATCTCTGGCAGGAGCCCCCCACCCCCAGGCTGACATGCCCCGGCCTCCCGATGTGACCAAACACCTTTGGGATCAGAGACTGCGCCCCAGACTGCGCCCCGGAACAGCGCTGACCCCGATGACACGCCCTGTGCGAGACGCGGCGCCCCAGGCGCACGCTCCCCTCTGCTCCCCAGGCGCCCGCTCCCTCGGGCTCCCAGGAGGGCCTGGGCAGGCCTTGCTTGCTGGCGAGGGCTCGGGACCGGTCCCCAAAGCCGCGACTTCTGCTCGCCGCTGGGCAGGAGGCCCCTCTCTTGTGAAGTGTCCTCAATGGCCCCAGACGCCAGGCCGGTGCGGGACAGAGAGGGGTGCCCTTCGGGAGCGCCCCCCCCCGTGCGGGCGTGTGGCAGGGCCCGTGTGGCCAGCAGGAGCCCCAAGCCCAGGCGCTCCCCCCGACTGAGCGCGCGACCCGGGGCACACCTGCGTGCGATCACGCGCTCTCGCCTTAAGCTTGGGAGCCCGAGCCCGCAGT